TAAAAGTAATTCAAAATGATGATTTCCAAACTTAGATCATCTGTTATTATTCATATTGTTGCTGACCGTGCAATAAGACAAACGTCCCCTTTCGAAAATGAAGTCCGCCCTTGAGGAAGACAGGGTTCCATGAAATTTTATATCGTAACTCTTTGATACCCTTGTTGTGGATGATATCTGACTCAATTCCATAACGAATATTTGCAGTACAAAGTGGATAAAGTGAAATTACTGTTGTATGATTCAATGTTCGTATAAAAAAAGTTGATTCGAAATACTCTTTCTTTCGTGTAATTTCTATGTAAAATCTACACATCGTTGTAAAGAGTTCATATCCAAACTAAGTATTTTCCCCCCTTTGCGGACAAAAAAATATATTTGAAAAAACTAAAAAACACGCTTTAAAACAACATCGAACTAAAATGTTAAAAATATTTTTTTTTAAATAAGCTTAAAACAATAACGAACGAAACATACCATGGCACAAAGCGCCCACGCTTTTTTCACAATAATACTAGTATTTTTCGTTCGTTATTATTTCAAGCTTATTTAAAAAAAATATCTTCAACATTTTAGTTCGATGTTCTTTTAAAGCGTGTTTTACACTTTTTAGTGTTTTAGTGTTTTAGTCTTTTCAAACTATTCTATTCGTATGCTATAAAAGCGTATGTTTTAGTCTTTTTAAACTATATCGGGTGTCCCACATTTTATGTGACAGGCAATATCTGGTTTGTTGAAGGAGATACACAAAAATGTTTCATACAAAAGTTTTAGGAGTTCATGAGAGCTATATTTTGATATAATTTTTAATTATACAGGGTGTTTGGTGTGGGTGCTACAGACCAAAATTCCTTTTTTTGAAATAGAACGCCCTGTATATCATTACATATTCAGATGCTACGTTAAATTCTGATATCATTTCATGTTTGGTTTTTGAAATTCGGTTACGGCGTTGTTGAGTTATTGCTTAAAATATAAAGTCTTGAGAACGACTATCATTTTTAAAAATATCTCATACAGTTATTCTCTCTGCATCAGATCACATGAAAATTAGTCGAAATTTTGGGTGTTCGAAGTGATGGTTTCAATTTTGAGTTGTGGAATTCAGTCAGGAATCATTTTGAATTTGAAACAATGGCGAAATTGAAAGAGGTGTATTCGAAAACAAATCTTTAATTGATAACAATGTAAATAATATAACTTGATAAATCATTTCATAAGAATGGTAGGTANTATAGCTCTCATGAACTCCTAAAACTTTTGTATGAAACATTTTTGTGTATCTCCTTCAACAAACCAGATATTGCCTGTCACATAAAATGTTGGACACCCGGTATTCATTTTATCTAAACTTTGGGATCAATCAGCCGTATATTGTTTAGAAAAATGACCATTGATATTTTCCGATTCCGGAGAGAGAGCCTGAAAATCAGCTACCAAGCCCAAGGCAGCAGGCACGCAAAGGAGGGTTACAAATAAGGCAGCAGGCGCATGTGCTTATAAAAAAATATTTTTTCAAATGAAGAAATACATGTGAAGTGAGTTCAAATTATATCAAGTAGGTTACGTACAGTGCCATCTGCCCGTGAATAGATCAAGCAATAATGTCGATATATCAAGACGGTTACGTACAGCGCCATCTGCTCGCGAATATATCAAGCAATAATATCGATAATTCTGTCAAATACAGATCCCGTTCTTGAGAGTTACAAACAGACAAACATACATACATCCAGGTGAAGCGTGTTGAAAAAATAGCTACTATCTTGTGTTTTCCAAATTAACGAAACCCTGGTTTACTCTTTGAAATCACTTCGATTAAAATGTTCTCGATATTTTTGACAATCGTCAGTTCGTCACATTTTTTTGGGTCCCTTTTCTAGGATAACCATTTTCTCTGTAAACAAACTACCATAGCCTTCCTAAAATATCACTAATCAGTAGTCTTTCGAGCAACATGTTCTCAATTTTCAACATAATATGTAAAGAAAATATAGCTCTGAAAATACTAGTACTTGAATTGTAAATATTCATAATTCTCGAGACATTTAGCAAAATGTAACTTATGAACAACCATGGTGCAGAAATGAAAAAATGAGTGAACGGGTGTGACTTAATCGACTCACACTGTTGATTTCAGCTACGCTTGTGTGTGGACAGCGTTCAAATGTTGACACAATTTGATCTTAATCGCTGATCCAGATGCCTGTTCAATAAATATGTTTACATCGAAAGCTGTATGTTAACAATAATTTCTAAAAATAGTTATATCCTGTAAATACTGAAATATCCCAACTCATTCATTCAAGCTGAAACGAAAGTATACACTGTGATTATTTGAATATTACCCACCTAAAATTTTCCATTAATCGATCGCGGAGATTTTGATCGAGATTAGCTCTAAGGCAGCGATGTTTTTTTTTTGCTGATGCCTCATAAAAATGCAATCAACTCCATAGACGACAGGAATAAAGTAATTTTATCGGAAAAATGGGTTGAAAACCGAACAAACCCTATTCCCAAATGCCGGAACTGCAATGCTATTTTTGACACTCGTTTCACCAACCAAGTCGGCATCTTCAGGAGATGAGGTTCACTAATTCCGTACTCTGAAACTGGTTTATATTTATATCTAACACTTTCACTTTTCGACACACATCAATGATTCGTGGTAAACATTTGTGGCCAATTTTTTTGTTGAACAATTTCAACAGAGTGATTCATATAAAGTTGATCATACTCTCGAAACCATACAGATCTCAACAGTTTCAGTTACTCTATGACCGTTCTCCAAAGCATGTTGAGCGGCACTAGATGTACTGAGTGTATCTTGAAACGAGTTCTGATAGCTCGCTTTGTCTCATCTATACATTCTTGGTTTTCACGTCATATAAATAATTATTACAAGTTTTCAATGAGAATATCACATTTCAAAATATATTTCAACAAAACTTTCGATTAAAAAAATGCATTCCATCCAATGAATCAGGAAAGCGACTTGAAAACATTATTTTAATTTCTGATTCTCAAAAAGGGTGAAAAGAAATGATATCTTTACTGAAATAAATGTCAAAGTTTGTGAGGATGGATGTTTATGACTTTTTCACGCCCTAACGACTGAACGGATTTAGATGAAACTCCACATAAATACAGCTTATACATCAGAGTAACATGTAGAGTACAATTTACAAAGATTTTGTGAAATTTTGGTCAAAATATAACGATAAGTATTGAGTAAATCGGAAAAATTCTTGCCCCCTGAGATCTATCTTGGCGTGCGCGGGTTATACCTTCGGAGTTACGTGTAGATAATTACCGTAAGATTGTTTATCTTGAATATTTCTAAATAAAAGTCTATTCTAATAAAAGTTACGGGGTAGCCACTGTATGCAAATTATTGAACCATAAATACAATTAAATTGGATACTATTTTTACAATGCACCCTCGAGAATATCTGTCGCATTCTAATAGAAATTTGTAAATTGTTGTCTGTTTTCTGTGTTCTGTTTTTCACACCAAGTAATTTGAACGAATTGTTTATTATCACGATAAGATTAACTTGACGCAACAAAGTAAGTCATTGCGCGGCGCGCCCGCCGGTAGAGGGGCGGTCTAAGCAATGAAGCGCTATTGCCGAGAACGCGACACGATCCCGGACAGACGTGTGAGAGCAGACGGCATTGACGGTTATGTTAGTTATGCTAATATCTTCATAGGTAACATAATTCGATTCTCAAAGCTATTCATTTCTTGGTGCAGTTGGCATATTTTTTCAGTTACTGTATTTTTAAAGTAAAAGTGTAAATCAGTAGCTGTTGCCCGCTCTTATATCAACGTACAATCGAAGTTACTGAACCTACCTGGAATCTTGAAATATGCAGGTAGGTTCTTTGTATAGCCTAAATAAGCATCAAGAAAGTGAACCAGGAATTTTCACCCTAAGATGCAAATATACGGGTTCAACGATTGTATTGAACTTCGTCAGTTTTGAACCTGAAGTCTCGAGTCAATGAAAAAATACTGGTTTTTCTCGATACTTTCAAACGTTCATTCAAGAAATAGGTGAATTTCCAGTTGGGAAATACTTGTATTTACCTGTGGCTGAAATAATTTCCCCAACTATTTTTGTGGTAAAATTTCCTGATAACGGTTGTTATTTCATTATTCAACGGAATGATACTAGGTTACTCATCCGAGATGAATGTCACAAGAATATGTCGTATTAATGTATTGTCAATACGAAGTCAATCCGAAAATCCAGATAAAAAACCAATGTATCGGTGTTGATAAATTTACTAGCTGTTACCATATAAAACCTTCCATATGAAAATGATGATTAGATCTCGTAAATTATACCACGCTGTCCATGTCATACAAAGAAACTGCTGACGTTCGGTAGGTATTTAGTTTTCATGCCATTCGAATTGACTTCGTATAGAGGCTATGACCCGGTACACTGTGTCGCTATAAGATATCTGCTAGGTTTTTCATTGAATGAGTTTTCCTCTGGAAAAGTAAAATTAGCTGTGAAAGTCATAATCCATAAGGGATTAACGTTCGCAAATTATTGATGGGTATTGATAAATCACTATTCCGAACAAATTTTCTGCATCAATAAGGAAACTGATGATACAATTTTCTGTTCAAGAAAATCATCATTTCACATCATTAAAATCACAAGAGTAAACTTCATTCCACATTCAAAAAATTATTCATTTTGAAAAGAATATTTTGGTATACTACAATATTCCAGAGGCAGTTTCTCAAAAACTGCTAAGCAAATTACGAAAAGTAGGGATAGCTTTCAAGATGAAGTATCTCACAAATCATAAATCAATTTGAAAATTTTCAATTCTATGGAAGAGTATTGAAGATGCAGTTGAAATTATACTCGAAATTGTTTTTCTGGAATAAAAATTTAACAAGATATCGAGTTGTTCGATATCTGCTGTAGCAGACGTCAGGTATGAAAACCTGCACACCCGGAGAGAGAGAGAGAGAGAGAGAGAAATGTTTATTCATTTGCGGATTGATAGAATAAGTTACATATATATAATGATATGAGGGGATTCCTGTTAAAGGGTAATGCCTCTTGAGGATTGGGTTTTTTACAAATAATTTCAATTAAAATTTTCGGAGTTAGAAGTTGCATAATTTGTTGGAGTGTCCGGGTCCAAAGCGGTGGTTGTTCTTAAGAAATCGGGTTGGATCGAGGGAAGTATGCCTGAGAGTTCAGGGTGTTCTAGGCCGTGCGGTGTCCTCTATCAGATCGCCTGTGGTACTCCTCTAGGATGTCCTGGATTTGCTCCGTCGGGTCTTCCACTGCTCCCAGTCTTCCACTGCTGGCTGGGGGAATGGGAGCTTCTTCCTCGGTATCCTCCTGGGGCCTCCACATGGCGTCCAAGGGTTGGTGAGGGTGCTGATGGCAGTGGTGTTGTTGCTTCTCATGGCTTCCGCAGCGTATCATCCTTGTTGTTCCTGAAATCTCAAGTTGTTTGGAGTAATATTTATATAAGTCTTGGAAAGGGTATCGTAATGGGAGGTTATAGATGTTTCGTAGGATTCGTCTCTCGGTTTTTAGTATACGGTCTCCGGGAGAGCGTGCAGTAGATACACACCCGGAGACAACGGACAATTTGTTATTTATTGGCTGTATTCATTGATGTGTAGGTAGGCTCACACCATGACTACAAGTTGGATTTCAGCAACGTGTTTTGGGGATCTGAACTCACATTACTAGATGCCGTCGGTCTGACAACATATAGACGCTACCGATCTGTTCCCTGGTATTCGTCTGTTGTCTATAATCGAGACTTGTTTTTTTCCAATCCACTACCATCTTTGGTCGAAAAGCGTCTGCTCATTTTTCCGTTAACTAACTGTCTCCCCTTTCCGAACGACAATTCTCAAAATTTTATTTGAGACCATTTGAAGCATTTTTGACAATTCACCTCCTGGGCCTTCATTTACAAAATGTATTCTCAATAGTCAAACTTATATTTTTCTCTAATGAAGAACAAGAATGAAAACATGAAAAATTGAAGACAAGGATACTCTACTAAAAATTTGTAATGTGGCGGTTCATATCTCTGATATTGATTATTGAAATAACAAAAATATTTTTGAAATTTTTTTTTAAGTTATTTCATTCAGGATTTCCTTCACGAATAAAGCTCATTCTCACGAGAAATGACCCAATTTCTCGCTCGATAAATGTATACTTTCATTCAAACGGTTTATCGATTTTGTGTTTACTATAAAAAATTCCTAACAAATTCTTATGGCTCAATTTCAGAAAATTANGCCTTAAGACACTTGCCCTAAGGCTCTTCAGTACCAAAATGGATAACATTATAGAAAATACACACACTTCATTCATGAATTACGATTTTGAATGTCACGGAATAAGCTTGATCTGCTTATGTCATCGATGACATCGATGTTTATATGAAAGTAGCTGTTTCAGGAGGACTTTCTTTCAGTTTGCGTCTGAAAGTTACTTCTTTGCATGATCTACACATTCATGTATAGAGTTCCAAATTGATTACTTCCTTCCTTTCTTTGGAAGATTCTCCCATCCCTTTTTTATTTACCAGATGGGGTAGTAGAAAGCCAAAAACTTTCTTTCCCAAAAAAATTAATCACTCCTAAAAAATATAACCCCTTCAATTCAAATAAGATTCCTCTTGGCTAGGATTAAATCAAGTAGGTGAATGAATGTCATTACGATGTCATCGATGACATAAGCAGATCAAGCTTATTCCTTGATATTCAAAATCGTAATTCATGAATGAAGTGTGTGTATTTTCTATAATGTTATCCAATTTGGGGAAAGTTTTCGTTATGTGGACACCCGGAGATTTTGAAAAAATTTTTGACTGTACTTACGTATTTTGATGCGTAGATTACGAATCCGAAAGAAAAAAGCGGCCCTTCAAAGTTCAGAAAAGGGCAACTTTTCAGCCTTCTTTTTCACTAAATAAACTATTTAAAAACAAGCATTCATTCACTAGGTCACCTTTACACCTTATTCCTCCTTCTTTAACACTTTTCACTTCAATACTCAACATTTTTTTTATAAAAATGTTAAAAAATGTACGGAGCTGCTTTTTGGTTACATATCACTGTATTTTACGTTTTTAAGGTTGATGATATGGTTGGTACGACTGATGCAGTCCATATTCCTGAAGTAATTTCGAAACAAATACTTCTATATGAACACTGAATTATACAGAAGATACTTTTCTCTACTCAGTTTGTATTTCAAACATTTGTTGTGGAATAAGAATCAGATATCATTCACATGAGTTCTACTTTGAATGAATGATTATAAATTGTACTCACATAGAACACTGTCACCCTCACTGGTATACACCGATGTTTCGCCTTAATGAGATCATACAACCTGAATCATAAATGAGGTCGTACACGTCGATATTTCTTTCGGGCCCATTTGATATGAGTCCCAAATTCCATTGCTGATTCACAACGAGATTTCTATTGCTCGAAAAACAATTGTTCAGGATCAGCAGTATCGAAACTTTTCTGTTGACCAGTGCCAGCACCATACAGAAACCATGGTCTTTTTTGGTGATATTTTGACTTCAAGAAATGCCTAGGTGGCTACTGTCCTGAACATCTGTTGTCGTAGAGGAGCTACGTCCCATCACACGTGACGATCCGATCCAAAAAAGGATCGTTTCGGTTACACAAAAGCAAAAAAGAACAGATCTCAAAACGTGACCAATTCTATCGATCGTTCGAATTGTGGGCCATTCACTTTTCGAATTTTTTCGCTCTTCAATACGTTTCAAAGCATCAAAATTCCCACCAGGGTTCTCAAATCCTCGTCTTCTGTTTTAATAGGTCGACCATTTCGAGGCTCATTTTTAAGGCTAGAACGCACTGTCTGACCATTAACACTATCATTGCCAGAAATCTGGTTAATTTTGTTGTCTGTTTCGGCAGCGCTTTGGTTCAATTTGGATTCATAGAGCAACATTGCCCGAGCTGAAAATAGACCAATGAGTAAAATTTAGACACAAATGAACATCATCAATGTATGGAGTATGAAATTCTCTATCGATTAGTATATACCACGACACAGTAGAATAAATATTCATTGGGATATGCATCAACAGAGATGCATGACATTAAAAGTAGCAGGAGTTTTGAAACAACTTAATATCTGCAGTTTTCTTGTTCGAGTGATGTGCCTAACAAATGTACTCTCTGATATCCATCATAATATTGTTGATTTATTTTCGTCTGTAAAAATAGTGGTAGCGAGTATTAAGAGGATTTTTGCACTTTATCAAGCTCTTCAAGCAAACTACTGCGTAATGTCCTCATTTTTAAAAAACTTGTTAAAGAGATGAATTGCAGTGGAAAGATGAAGTGTATTCACTGAACATTATTTCGAATTCAATGCATTTAATGAATAACTGTTTTAACTGTATCCTCCATTTTAGTATTTCTGTTATTTTTACATTCATATGGAAGAATAGACATGGTTCTGAAGACCTTTGTAAATGAATAATACTCATATATTCATTTCCAAATGTTGAATTCAATATATTTTTTGTCCTACCGAAAAACAGCCTTAGAATGGTTCAGATCTTATATTATTGGTAGAAGTCAAATAATGACATTGAGCAACAACACTTCTGATCGTGAAAAAATTGTACGCGGAGTTCCACAGGGGTCAGTCCTAGGCCCAATTTCATTCTTGTTATATTTTAACGATATGGCAAAACTCGAAATATCTGGAACATTTACTTTGCTGATGACACTACGGTACTTTAGCGTAATAAAGATCCCGGTACTTTGACTAGGTCTATATCCACCCAGATTTATGAAAAATAAAAAAATGATTTGAATCGAGTATGCCATCGCTGAATGTTTCTAAAACAAATCTGATAACATTCAAGTGGGACTAAGAACAAGTAATACTAGGTGAACACATGATTGAAAGCCTGTTACCAAATTTCTTGGTATATTCATTGACAGTTATTTAAAATTTGATACGCAAATTACTGCTTTGAAAAAAATATTCCGGTTGCTTTGCTATAAATGTCATATCTCGTGAACTCGGATTTTTAACAGCAATAAATGCATACTATCCACTTATAGAGAGTCTTTTATGGCATGGAATTCCTTTCTGGGGCTCAGGAAGCCAGTTTTGATGCAGAGTATACTCGTTATTCAGAAAAGAGCTTTGAGAATAATATTCAAATTGAAAAATGCATGACTCGTGAATGCCACGTTTCTGCAGAAATGAAATATTAACAATATTTGAAATATTGATTCTTGAGAAAAATGTTTCAAAGCCATAGATAAAGGTCTACGCGTAGCGATAAAAAACTTTACAATCCACATCCATTGTCCACATCATCATTGACCAGGCAGTCTCAAATCTGTAGAAGTAGACAAATACATAATCATCTACCAAAACATATTACGTCAATTTATAAACTCAAAAGAATTCAGAAAATTATCGAAGAACCTTGTTTTGGAAAAGTGCTTTCACAGTTTGGAAAAGTATTCTGCATACACATTATAGTCTTTCGGTATACCACAATGTATATTATTACGTTATATGTTAGGTAATTTTCTTTTTTTTGATATTTTTTGGTTGTTTTGCTGTCTGTTATTTTTAATCTCCACTGTATTTTTGTGAATAATATAGTCTTCAAAAAAACAGCATTTTATATATGTTTTACATTTCATGTATTTATAAACATGACAGCCTTTGTCAACAAAATGTATATAATTTTAGATAATAAAGACCTATCTATCTATCCATTGGAAAACTCATTGTCAATCTCTTCAATATACGATTACTGTTTTGGCAAGAGTATAAAAAGTCTCACCTATATTTCACTAGCGACCCAACTCGGCTCCCGGTGCAGTGCTGATACTAAATATAAATTCAACCACCGGAAATTCAAAAGGGTACAGAAACAGTGATGAAAAGATGATTTTGTTTTATGGACTTGCTTTTTCCTCTGTGGTTGGCGCCTCAGTTGGAATATTCAGAAATCCTTTCTTATTGCACAATATAAAACAAATCTACATACAAAATTTCAGCCTCAGAAAATATAGCAGTACAGAGAAACAGTGATGAAAGGTAATTTTCATATACAAACGCGCCCCTTTTACCTCCACGATGGGCGTCCCAGTAACTATGTACCAAATATTAGCCTCCTAGGTCTTACTAGTATGGAGAAACAGGGATGAAAGAGTGAGTGATAAGTCGGTCACCTTCACTTTTATAAATATATTTCAATTCAATTTATTGTGCACTTTGAAATGGAAATGTGAAATCTATACATACATAGATAATGAGTACATCCCAATGATGGCTTGATAATAAATTGATACAGTCACCGCAAAAACTGATAGAAGATGATATTAGTCGTTCAAGTGTGAATAAATATGAGGAATCCATGAGAGAGAAGATTTTTTTTTATCATATTACAGAAAACAGTGCTTTAAATAGCTGAACTTATACCAATATGCCAAGCCTATTCGAGTGATCGATTTCAATTTGATTGATATTATTTTACCTTCAAATTACTGAACTTATATGAATATGCCAAGCCTGTTTGAGTAATCATATTCGATTTCATTGATATTATTTTACCTATGCATGTACGAGTATGAGGGTAAAGTAAGATCAAATTATATAATTTGGAATGATTTACTTTCAAAACTAGTTCTCACATTATGTTCTAACAGATTGATAACTTTGGCGTTATCAATCACTTTCAATATTTCATTGAATTTTGGGAAATTTTGAATAATATGAAATACATATGAATAGGGTGTTTATCAAATATTCGCCAAAATTTCAAGGGGCTATTTTAAGGATATTTTGTAGTTTCATGATTTTTAATAGGGCGCTTTGTTTTGAAGCTACGGAGCGAAAAAGAATTCCGACAATAATAATTTATTACCAAAAATTACATGTTATGTTTCTTAATCTACAAGAACTGTTGAAAATAACTAACGCCCCCCTCCCCGCCACCGACGGATGCAAGAATCCAATCTTCTCATAACTTGGTAGGGCCAGTGTAGCGGTGTAGACCACTACACAGTTATTGTCGAAATTCTTTTCGCCCCGTATTTTCAAAACAAAGCTTCCCATCAAAAATCTTCAAAGAACAAAATATCTTTAGAATAGTCAAAGAAATAGTTCCTCAAATAGTTTCTGCCACTTGTTTAATAAACACTCTGTATATAACCCATTTATTCTATAAAAATATTCAAAATGCGTTGTTTCAATTTACTTCAACACATGAATTGTGACTTCACTCAAACTGAAATTAAGATGTCGCCAAGTGCAAAATAATTGCATATTTGGAGTTTTAAAGCCAGTTGTTCTTCAATAATCTTGGACATATTGACAAATTCATCTCTTTGCTGTGTTAGTTGAGAGTAGTGTTTTTGGATTTCTTTGGCTGCCTTTTTTCTCAACTCGGCTTGGACCAGATCCGCAGCGGCCGGCACTAAAACAGTCTCACCGATTGGTTGAGGCTTTCCATCTTTTGTAATTACGAAACTAGCAAGGTATGACCCCTTTATCAGGTTAGTATCAGTATTGATAGACTTTGTCGAACATTGGGTTTCTTTCTTGAAAGTTCAATTGGCTCACCGATTAAATCAACTTGCTGAGCATTTGGTGGCACCGGTTCTTCACAGCTGAAGAACAGCTGCCAGAAATCAGGAGAATCCCTACAGGAGTTTGAAGCCGACATTGCTCGATTGGTTCGTCTGGCATATCCTGCTACACCGGAAAATGTAATGGAGCGGTTAGCAGTTCAGGCATTCTTGGACGGACTTCGTGACCAAGAAACGAGGCAGGCCTTGACACTAGCTCATCCCAAACATCTTGTGGATGCACTGGCAAGTGCTCTGGAGTTTGAGGCTGCAAAACAACCCTGCAAGAACCAGAGCAAAGTTCGAGCTATCGAGGAAGATGGACAAGTGCCTGCTGATATTGAGGCCACCATTAGAAAAGTAATGAAAGAAGTGTTGCCTGAGAGGAAACAAATAAGATGCTGGAACTGTGGTAAAATTGAACATGCGCGTAGCAAATGTCCAGCTTTCAAAGAATCGACACCAAATCAGGAAAACTAAACGAGATCGATGAGAAGGGGCAATCGTCGACCTGTACCCAGCAAGCCCCCGTAAAAAACGCATATGTTGCCATTCTCCAACGACAAAAAAAAGGTGTTTTCGTAGACGGCTTCATCAACAACGAGTCTTGTACCATGCTGCTAGATACAGGTGCGACGAGAAACATTCTTGGACCAACCTTTGCCAAAACATCGGCAAGAATTGAACCGTCAAGCTGGAAGCTACGCACTGCAACAGGGGAGCCAGCCACTGTACTTGGAGAACTACTAATTGAATTGGTGTTGGGCAGCACTAAATTGAAACATCGTGCATTGGTGGCGGACATCGAGGACGATGCAATCATTGGAATGGACATAATGAATTCCAAAGGGTTCGAGCTGAATTTCCAAGACGGCGTCCTACGTGTCGGCGGAGAAGAGCTGGTGCTTCATGAAAGAAGCGAAGAGACGATAAGGGTCCTATTGGCTAAAAACGTGTGCGTACCTGAAAGGGCTGAAACAATCCTGGAGGCTCGCTTGGACGGAAGTGCGAGCAGCGGCAAGGTGGTAATGTTCGAGCCCAAGATACACCATGAGAAAATTGGACGAGGAATTGCACTTGGGAAGACCCTGTTGCATGTTGATGAAGTTGTGCCGGTCAGGGTCATGAATGTCAACTACTTTCCCGGGACTTTGAAAAAAGGAACAATGCTGGGGCACTGTTCGTCCATTTCCTCGGTGATACAGAGTGTACGCAGTTCGGTTAGCCAAGCCAACAACTTGCCTAAAGAGTTGGAGAAGTTAATTGACATTTCCTCCAAGGACATACCACCAACACAACTATCAAAACTGAGGGAGTTAGTCGGCAGAACGAATGTGGTTCAG